CGACAGCATGGATCTAACAAAGAGCCCAATTCCCATTGGCACATTAAAATTTCAACATCCATTGACGCGTATCCGAGTCACCCATTACATGCATTGGTCAGTCATTCTACGCATTAACGCCTACATCTGCATGCATACATGATGTATCATAGACCGAGACTTAGGACCCCATAAAAATCTAGAGTCAATTTCTAGGGGAGTCACTATTGTAATCTCTAACATCTCTCTGACTATCCCTCTCAGTGAGTCTACAATACAAGCATTCTTTGTCAAATTAAGTCGTGAGCAGCCTCATGCTTTCCAAACACCTGATCGACGTCTGGTAACCCTACCGATATTAGTGACCTTGCTGTCTATCTCACCTTCCCAAGTTGATAATATTCCGGTAGCCCCACTGATTTTGGTTTAAAACCGAGTTCTTGTCTGATGCATCATTTCAAAAATCTATTTATCGTCTAGCCGTGTTCCAATTTCCATTTGGAAGCTAAATCCTCGTCACCAGTTCTCAGTTGACGCGTATCTGATTCACCCATTACATGCATTGGTCAGTCATTCTATGCATTAACGCCTGCATCTGCATGCATACATGATATATCATAGACCGAGACTTAGGACCCCATAAAATCTAGAGTCAATTTCTAGGGGAGTCACTATTGTAATCTCTAACATCTCTCTGACTATCCCTCTTAGTGAGTCTACAATACAAGCATTCTTTGTCAAATTAAGTCGTGAGCAGCCTCATGCTTTCCAAACACCTGATCGACGTCTGGTAACCCTACCGATATTAGTGACCTTGCTGTCTATCTTACCTTCCCAAGTTGATAATATTCCGGTAGCCCCACTGATTTTGGTTTAAAGCCGAGTTCTTGTCTGATGCATCATTTCAAAAATCTATTTATCGTCTAGCCGTGTTCCAATTTCCATTTGGAAGCTAAATCCTCGTCACCAGTTCTCAGTTGGTAGCCTGACTTAGGCACTGATTCCGCAGCTCAAATAAAATTGGCATTGCATTTATCAATCATCGTATCATTTTGATTCATAATATTATCATGTTAAACATACATACCATGAATCATGCATGCATCAAGCATAAAAATATCAAACTAACATACATACATTACATTTAATCATATATGCCTATTAAAATTTCAAAAAATCTCAAGGCATGACTACTAGCTAAGACGAACTGAAATTCAAATCCAAGCTTAGCACTATCCATTTATTTTTCTATAACTATAGCTACCTCGGTTGAGAACAAACACAACTGTCAAAGACACCACTATCAAAATTTCACTAGCCAACTTACCTACGATTCGTATCCAAGGCCTAGTCATCACCAACCTTCAGGCATTACACTTGCAATTATCAAATTCAAACTTTTCAAGTTCGAACCTCTCAAAACATTTAATTTCATTTGGTTATCATGTTAATCAAGCCTCGGTTGAGAATGGACACAACCAGTATCATCAACGAAACTTCGGTTTCAATCTTCAAACCTAGCATTTTTTATGCTAAACAATTACCTTGGTTGAAAATAGACACAATCGGTAAAAATCCGATCTCATGTCTGATTTAGTTATCTAAGATTTGATCATCAAAAATAACTTTTTTTGTGATATAATTCATTGTGTCAGTCTCCATGCAGCAATGTGCGAAATCCACAATTTAAATGATTGGTCAGGCTCCATGCAGTAATATGTTTCCTCCTTTGCAATATAGCTTATTGCATCAGGATCTATGCAGTAATGTGTGAAATCCGCAGTATAACTCATTGCCTCAGTCTCCATCCAGCGATGTAGTTATCAAGCTTTTCCAATTATCTATCCCCTAGGTTGCGATAGATATATGAATAAATCAATATAATCCATTGCATCAGCCTCCATGCAACAATGTTATTATCAAGCATTTTCTATGATATAATCCATTACATCAGCCTCCATGCAACAATGTTATTATCAAGCATTTTCTGCGATATAATCCACTGCATCAGTCTCCAGGCAGCAATGCTATTATCAAACTTTTTCTGTGATATAATCCATTGCATCAGTCTCCAGGCAGCAATGTTATTATCAAGCTTCTTACTCGATATAACTCATCGCATCAGTCTCCATGCAGTGATGTAGTTATCAAGCTTTTTTCAATTATCTATCCCATAGGTTGCAATAGATATGCGAATAAATTCGTGTAATCCATTGCATCAGTCTCCATTCATTAATGTATTATCAAACAATGTTTTATTTATCCCCTAGGTTGTGATAAATACATAGTTTCCTCCTCTGCGATATAACTCATTGCGTTAGGCTTCATGCAATAATGTGTAAAATCTGCAACATAATTCATTGCATCGGTCTCCATGTAGCGATGTTGTTATCAAGCTCCTTTTCAAATATATATCCCCTAGGTTGCAATAGATATATGAATAAATATGCGTAATCTATTGCATCAATCTCCATGCAACAATGTATTATCAAACAGTGTTTTATTTATCCCCTAGGATGTGATAAATACACAGTTTCCTCCTCTATGATATAACTCATTGTGTTAGGCTCAATGAAGCAATGTGTGAAGTCTGCAATATAACTCATCGCCTTAGTCTCCATGCAGCGATGTAGTTATCAAGCTTTTTTCAATTATCTATCCCCTAGGCTGCGATAGATATGCAAATAAATTCGTGTAATCCATTACATCAGTCTCCATGCAATAATGTATTATCAAACTGTGTTTTATTTATCCCCTACGTTGTGATAAATATACAGGTTCCTCCTCTGTGATATAACCCATTGTGTCAGTCTCCATGCAGTAATGTGTGAAATCTGCGACATAACTCATTGCATCCGTCTCCATGTAGCGATGTTGTTATCAAGCTCCTTTTCAAATATATATCCCCTAGGTTACGATAGATATGCGAATAAATCTGCATAATCCATTGCATCAGTCTGCATGCAACAATGTGTTATCAGAATTTGTTTTATTCATCCCCTAGGTTGCGATGAATAGACAAAATCAAATCAAATCAAATCAAACTTACTATATTAATCTCCAAGCATTAGTGAGCCAACTTTTCCAAAACTTGAAAACATGCAAAAGAATCTACAATTCCTTAGATACTGACGGGTTATCTGCATCGTCATAACTAAGTCAAATCAACTTTGGTTCAAACGCTGGTAAGATGATACATCATCATCTATGCCTACTCTTCATACCCACGGGAACACTGTATAGTATATGCTTATAATCTTTCAGACAAATTTTGGGATCTTCCAATATTTAATAAATTTCCGATCAGAACGTGTGAGACCTGCGTATTCTCACACTATTCGATCAAAAAGTGATTAAATAGGGGCATTTGTCATACCCTAAATTTGCCTGCCCTTTATTTCTACGCTCAAAATATTCTTAAACATTGGTTTTATAAATATTCCTTGATTTTTATAAATATTCGCTTCTAAACCTATTTAATAATATAATAATTTATTTCAATATTATTTTTATTTTTGAATAAACAAATACTTTCTCATCTTCAAGTACTTTCTATTGGCTTTTTATTTTGAATAAGTAACATGACACAATTGGTAAGGAATGAAGCTTGCAAGTTGAGGTATGGGTTCGAATCTCGTGTGTGGCACTTCTTAGACATTTTTTTTCTTATTTTTATTAATTTTCTTCCCTTGTTTGGAGATCAAACTTTGGGATTTTTTTTTGGGCTTTTGGATAACTTAGTCTCTAAGTCTTTGTTTAACCTAATTCAAGTCTATAAATAGGACCTTAGTTTGTCTTAGTTTTTCAGACACAATTCACACAAATTCTCACAGATCAAGAATTTCACACACAATTCACCCATAATGTCCATAATTTTTACAATTTCATTCACTCATGTACACTTCTTGTTTTACAATTTCTTTTTATTTGTGGTTTTTATTCTTGTCGATGATTTCATATGAGGCCCTTATCTTTTATCTCTAATTCTTTATCTTTAATCATATGATATCAAACTGATGATGTTTTGGTTTATTATATTTCTTGTTGTAATAACATTTTTATGGCATACTTTATGCATTAGAAAACCCTTAACAATTATTTTCACACTTATTAAACCATATATTACCATAAAATACTATACATATTGTATACATATTTTTTGACATTAGTCAACCAATCTTTTGACCAAAATCTCATCTTGTTTCCAACATCAACAATCCTCGTGTTTTTTTATGAACAAATTATAGAAATTAACTCTTTTGTGAATTAATTTTAAAATTGTTATAGAAAATATTTTTATTATAGTTTTGATTTAATTTACTAAAATAATCCCAATTTTTCACAGACTATACAAAACAACACGGTGCAAACACATTTCTTTTGTCGCGATTGAAATTCAAATGCCTAATTTCTACACTTTTGTTTTCTTGCTTCTCCACAAAACCATAAAATATTCATATGGGAAACTAAGTGTTCACTGATTTTTTCATCATAAATCATTACCTCTATTTTGAAATAACACTTGTAAACTAACAAACCAGTATCTAACTACATAATATTGGCTAACTTAAAACTCACTGCAACATGAAAATTGGAATTCAAAAAATACCTTAATTATTGCTCTATTTGTTTTTTTTGTTTTGTAGAAAAAACAAAAGAAAAGCAAGATCCAGAAACTGAGTCGCTCAATCGCCTCGGCTCTGATCGATCTCCATTATCGGAACTTTTTCTGATCCACCACCCATCTTCATGCAGAACAGCTGTTCAAATCACCGCAAACAACCATCGATGAAGCTCCTCCCCCTTTCAGATCTGTCGGTGATATCTCTTACGATCGCCACTGAGAACCGTGTCAGATCCGCCCACGAGTATACCCTTGCCCATCACCGATGAAACCAAGGTAGACATACTCCTTGATGTTTTGATTTAAGCATGTTTTGTTTTTGTCATAAAAAATGATGAAGAATTTCATGGGACTTTGGTTGTTGTTGCTATCCTTGGTAAAAGAAGATAATGGCTTGTTTGTTGTTGTTGCTATCCTTGGTAAAAGAAGAGAATGGGTTGTTTGTTGTTGTTTTGTGGATATCACGAATGAGAGAGAGAGAAACAAATATTGTTGTGTTTGTTTTCTTTTTCTATAATTTAATTAATTTTTTAATTATTATTTGTGTTATATTATTAGAAGCCACATGTCTCAGTTTCTATGGTATGAATTTTAATTTTGAAAAATCAAAGATTACAAATTGTTTTAATGTTCATTTTGTTTTGGTGTAAGTATAACCGTAACAACATGATGTTACTTTAACCTTTTTCATTTTTCTCATTTATTATTCATTTATTTATTTATTTAGAATTATGGTTTTAATCTTAGTTGGGTTGGGCTTCCTATTTATTATTTACACCCCTTGGAATTACTATCTAATACCTTTTTGGGTTCAAAATTATTTTGGGCCCATATTTCTTTGTACACCACCCCAACTCTAATTTTTACACCTCTTTCATAAACTAAACTAATTTAACATTTTCACGAATAATAGGATGTCCATCTCCGAGTAATTAAATCGGTAGACACGTCGTCTACCGGTTTATTATTCAAAATCAAATATATTAAAACTCGCGCAAAATCAAATTCACCATCCGCGTGCGACACGTGGTCAATATATAGCCACGTGATGAGGAGACTATATTAGACTCCCTCACTCTACGTCTTAATATAGCTAACCAAACACCAAATCATTTTCTATTAACTTAATCAAAATCAAGATCATTTTTGGAAAAGGATTAAGGAGAATCACTTTCAAATTAACTACGAACTATGTCTACGCTCACACAACTTACAACCCAAACAAGGTTCAAGGATAATTCGAAAGAAATTCTACGTGATCCGTGAAAAACACCAACCTATCGCGAACTACAAAATGGGACTCTGATTCCTCATAAGAGGATACATAAGCATACGATTAAAATCGTGGCGAGTCCCATTAATTAAAATTAAAACCCTATTCCATAAAGATTAATTATAAACCTAGTATCCTTATCCCCACCAGAGCAAGTTTTCCTTTCCCCAGTCAAGCCTGGTGTTGATGAAAATCGTACAAAATTTGTTTCCTCAGTGTGGTGTATACATGGAAGTGCTGGTCATAACTATTTTTATCCCCAGTGATATAAGATTGTTGAGATATTCCTAATGAAGTTGTGAACCTCAAGTTTCTGGTTCAAAGATTCTTTCATCTTCCCCAAGTGAAGATTTATATCCGAGCGATAAAATCCTTAGTATGTTCTAACACTGGTTTTCTTTTGATTCAAGAATTATCATTATCCCCAGTAGAAGTTATCTTCATCAAGAAACTCTACGCGAGAAAGTTTCCATTCCCAACGAAGTTTTCCTTATCCTAGAAGAAGAAAAGGGATATGTTCCCCATGAAGTTGAGAATTTAACCAGAGTTCAGGATCTTCTCTAGACTATAAATTATTTTTGTAGTATTCCTACCAAGAGTCTACTTCCCCAATGATATCTTTCCTTGGAAGTTGATATTTCAAACTTGCAGTCTCTTAATGAAGTTCAAATTGATTATTCTCATTAGAAGATTAGATATGCAAGGATATTTTTCAAGAGTTCCTTGTTTTCCCGGCAGTTGATTATTATTGTGTTTTCACCCAGTGAAACATTAAACATGCATCTACCAAAACGCGTAGCGTTTCCATTGTATGAAGCATTACGCTGTAAAAATTCAAACATGCATTGAAGTATAAGTTAATTATACTATGTGTATGACCTAACCATATGTTATGTACCTGAAGCTGAATAATCCTTACAACTTTATTCCCTAGGATTTTTTTCCAATCGATGTGTTATCACATATTCACTTCATATTAAATGTCTTGTCTTGTGGGAGTCTCGGGCAGTTTCCTCAGTGGATTCTTTCATGTCGGTATCCCTAGTAAGTCAGCCTTTGATTGGCATGCTTTCTCTAGAAGTCTATATGTGGCTAGTCTTCTTTTCCCTGGGAGTTTGCTTTTGATTCAAGTGTTCTCTATCAGAGTCTGTCCTGGCCAGTCTCTTCTTGATATGTGTTCAACATTCTTGCCGAACATGTCTCGTTGATATCTTCGAGTCCACTTTTGATTCAAGTGGTCTCTGTCAGATATCTGTGTATGTGTCCAATATCCTTACCAGTCATGTATACTCGAGTTTGCTTTTTATGCAAGCATTCTCTATTTGATGTCTTGAAGTTTGCTTTTGATGAAAGTGTTATTTGTCTGATGCCTTTGAGCTTGCTTTTAATGCAAGTGTTATCTGTCTGGTATCTTCGAGTTTGCCTTTGATTCAGGTGTTCTCTATATGAGTCTATCTATGGTTAGTTTTCTTTTGATGCAAGTGTTCTCTGTCAGATGCCTTTGAGCTTGATTTTGATGCAAGCATTCTCTGTCTGGTATCTTCGAGTTTTCCTTTGATTTAGGTGTTCTCTGTAGGAGTCTATCTGCGGTTAGTCTTCCTTATCCCCTGTGAGTTCGCTTTTGATGCAAGCTTTCTCTGTGAATATCTATGAGTTTGCCTTTGAATAAGGTGTTCTGTATAGAAGTCTATATGTGGTTAGTCTTCTTTCTCCTTTGTGAGTTCACATTTGATTCAAGCGTTCTCTATCTGGTATCTTTGAGTTCACCTTTGATTCAAGTGTTCCTTGTAGTAGTCTATATGCGGTTAGTCTTCTTTCTCCTCTGTGAGTTTGCTTTTGATGCAAGCGTTCTCTGTCTGATATTTTTGAGTTCGCCTTTGATTAATGGGTTCTCAGTCAGTTAACCTTATATATGTCCAATTCTAGCCAGGCATGTGTGTTTGATCTCCTCTCTTGTATGTATCTAATCCTGACCCGACATACAGTTTATGATAACCACCTTTCACCAAAAGAAAAGAAAAATAGAAAATTCAGAAAACCAAAAATAAATAATACCTGACTGTCTTCAGAGTTCAAATTTTACGGTACTATTGAGTATTCAATCCTCTTTTTCCTCGATTGTTTGAAAGGCTATCACCAATCTCACACTCGGGTTAAAAAAGATTGAATAGGGGCAGTTGTTGCACCCCAAAATTTTCCCTCTTTAGTCTAACCCTAATTGACTTATACTTCATCATCACATGTATACATATATGTCTTGGGTCCTGTTTATCGTGAAATTTGGTAAACAACCGCTGGTCTTCCAAATCGAAGAAAAGATTGGTGACTTGCAGGATCGACCAGATTGATCCTAAGTACATGTTTTCTTATTCAAACTTTTGTTCTTGAAAACAAAGAATACTTTCAATAACATTCCTAATCTTTTAAACTAAACGGATTTCAATTGTTACTTCGAATAAAGTAATGTAATGCTTTAAAGAAAATAATGGTATATAAAAGGCTCCCGACTTAAACTCAAAAGGAATGTATAAAACTTCAATTAAAGTTAAATGACAAAAAATGTAAAATTGGTGCATCATACTTACATTCTCACAACACGTTTCTCGAACGTTGGTACTTTGAGTAATTTAGATTAATTTGTACAAAGATGTGAACACCCTGAATCCTAATGCTAAGACCCTAATTTATACTAATTCGACCAAATGGTCTCTTTATAAGATGTTGCCACGTTCGAAATTTGCATGTGCCTTTGAACCCTATGCTTCCACGCGTCTCTTTGGATAAGATTAACTTTCAAATTTAAAAACCCTTTTGCCTTCGAAGCTCCAAACAACACAAATGTGACAGTCAAAATATCCTTTCTTATGATACTTCGAATAACTTAAGTTCCAATGGTTCACAGACAAACCTTTCACCAACACTTAACGAAATGAAGCTTTTACTAGCTTTTAATCTATCGAAATCTTCATAGAAACTCCTTCATGCTTCCTTTCGAACTACATTTCTTCCAAAATGTATCGTTTCAGCTTAAAAACTCATGCAGTAGAAATTCCCAGTCAACAAATTGCCCCCAATAAACGTGTGTTTCGACATACTTGGAGAAACATAATTTTTTTGTAAAACAATCATATTTCGACCGACAAGTAATCTTCATGATGAACATTAACTGCTATGATGTCAGAAACAATCATGATTTACTTTTCCAAAATGTCTAATCAAGACGTGCATGCAGCAGTTCCATCATTGCTACCAAAGTAGGTTCCCAATATGGCTTTTGAACAAGCAAACATCCTCATTAACTTATAAAAAAACCACCACGTGTCCCACTAACTAAAACATTTAAGATATAAACTAAATAATTTTCATCTATAAATACTTTCTTCTTCCTCAAACACACTTTTTTTCATCTTCTTAACTTCTGGTTTTCAAAAACTCACACTATTTTCTGTCTCTCTTTCTCAAAAACCTTCAATCGTCCAAAATATGAACTTTCAACCATGACACCATCCAAAAAAGGGAACAAATCTTACAAAAATGTGAAGAACAAGGAAGTGAAGAACACCAATAATGCTACATTCCAACCAATTCATCGTATCATAAAACTGCTTCTTGTTGGAAATCAAAAACTGGTTCCAACACCACATGTTTCTGCTGAACAACAAGCTATTTACGCTTCTCGTGTAATAATCCCTTTCTCCCTTGCTGATAAAACCCTAGGGTATATGGGTCCTATGTTATCCTCTAAATTTTTAGAACAGATTAAAGAAATGTTCTCTGTTTATTATGATACAAAACTCATTGTTAACAAAGCTGGACCTCCTAAGAAGAAATATAACAATCCTGATAAACATTTAGCAGAATCGTCTATAGAGAAAATAAATAAAAAACCTCTCTATGTTCCTGTAATTGAAGATAAACCCTTTTAATTTGACTATGTAACTGAGAACTTTAGACCTTTTAGGTCTTTCCCTGTAGCAGATAAACAATATCTTGATTGGCTAGCTAAAGTCGAAAAGAAAAAATCCCAAGCCTGAAAAGACTTAGGCACTTTCGACTTAATTCAAATGTCAAAAATAGATTTTAGCTATTGCCAACATATGTTGATGTCCTCATTATACTTCTGGGATAGTACTTACAATACTTTTCATCTCCATTGCGGAATTATAACTCTCACTCTCTTCGATGTGGCTGCTATCACTGGACTCCCACCAACTGGAGAAACCTTTGACCCTTGTCAACAAGAAGAGAACACCATCAACTCTGTCATTGAAAACACCGTCTTCACCAAATACATTAATCTCTACCATGCTCAAGGAGACAAAGTGTATGATGTTAAGCATATAGATTTCCTTAATCTTTGGCTATCTAGGTGCCTTA